GAGAGTGGTTTAACCCGCCAGTCAATGACCATTTCTCAAATGCAAAGTAAATATTTTCTCAGCAGACGAGTCATTGTGAAAGCAACAGTAGAGGGCAGGGAGGGGGCAGGTATAGGTTGGGTGCCAGGGTGGATAACACCAGGAAAGCCATCACAACCATTTACTGGGAACTGTCCAGGCTGCACAGAGTGGGAAGAGCAGAGTGTGGTTTACACAGTGAGAAAGATGAAAGAAAGGTAGGGTCTTCAGTAGGTGTGAGATCATCTAGCTCAGAGGTGAAGGAAGGGGAGAATTCTCCAGTTTGCTTTGTCTCACTTCAAGGCACCAGCTAAAGCCTTTTGTATGTGCCTAGGGATAAAAGTCTGTTGGTCAAATGCAGTTACTGTTAAGAGATAAAATCCCTAAAACCCCAGACCAGCACGTAGGGCATAAATGGTTGAATCCTCAATTAATTAGCTGCACATGTGGAAGCAAAATGTTTGGGCTTGAATGAAGTATTGAATTCCATTTGGGTGGGATGGTGTTCAGTAATGCCACACTGCAGTGTTTTGTTTTGGAAAAAAGCCGGAGTAATTGAATTCTTTCTTAACATTGAAGCTATTCTGTAATTTGCAATTTGAAAGTGCAGCTTGGGGGAGCTGATTGCATTTCTCAGTGCCTGATCCTGAAAGTGAACTGATTGATTTCATGAGGCAATCTGAGTGTGAACAGAACTACCTTCACATTCAGAGCCCTACAGACCCCTGGGCCCTCAGGAATACAGCTACTGGAGGGAGCTGTGAGTTCTTATTGCTGTTATGAACAGGAATTCTTGGCTAAGAGCAACTGGGAGTGATTGCTTTGTATTGTATGGTCTGTACTGCAAGAAGAAGGAATATTTTCTTATAAGATTTTTTTAAATCATTAGAACTTGCTCTAGCTCAGCCTCTAAATGCCCATGCCATTTTTGATATCACACTGGTATCAAGTCCTCTTCCATACAGTTTTGAAGTCGATTCTCTAAGGATGCTTTTTCCCTTGGTATGGGTAGTTTGGTTTGCTTTACAGCTCTCTTTTCTCAAAACAAGTTTATCTTGAAGCAGGAAGAATTCTTGCTGCAGTCCCTCAAGTCTTCATTGTGCTTGTCCCTGTACAATCACAGCCCTTAGCTGGAGGGTTCACTTTTTGGAAAGAGTAGTCAAAGGAGTGACTTGCCCCAGGGTGTTAGGTGCTTGGGGAGGCAGCCTGAGAATAGAGTTCAGCTCTCCAGTGACTGGAGCCAAAGGCTCAACCATCAGCAGCCTCCTCTCTGCTTCCTCAGGGAGCCCAAGCCTCACCTAGCACCTGTGTTGTTGATGCCACAGTCACAGCCTGTGAATGACCAAGTTGGGTCCTTCAGCAGTCATTGGGCTCCTGCAATGGAGAACAGACAGAAAAGGATTGGGGTTTGGCTTGTTCTATTTATAACTCTAAGCACCTATCCAGGTACAGCATCCCTTCAACTTTGAGAGACAGGTTTTCCACCTTCCTGTTGTTGAACCACACCTGTAAATCAGGAGAATCCTTTGTCTTTACCATTTTTGTTGGCAAATGAGTAATGCCTAATGTCTCCTTCAATATTATATTGATGCATATGTATTTTTTAAAAAATAATGGCTACTGTCCAGTCTATTTTGCCCCTTCCCATATAGCAAACTAATCTCTCATATTTGGCTGAAAAAGCAGCTGTGCATGAGACAGACACAGGGCAATGGCAAATCCAGCCCATGATGTAGGTTAGCAGTATCAATAGCTTACCCCTTTCTGCTGCTCCCTGTCTTTTCTGACAAGAGTAATGGAAAGTTAAAAGAATTTGTTAACATATGATAGATATTTAAAGAAACACTTCTTCCTGTAAAATGTGTGCACGGTTATCGACATCGTAAGGAGAGCATTTTGTCTGGCTCCTGAATGATGGGAACTCATAGCGCAGTAAATTATACCAATATAGAAGTTAATGTACTTGGCTTTAACACAGATATTTTACTGTTATTATCATGATCAAAAGTGACATACATCACTGTGACATGTACCCAGAATGGAAAAAACCCCAAAAAAACGGTGTAGTTGTGTCTAATAACCCCAATTATAGAGCTTTTTCTAATGCCTTTTTTATAGCAGTTTTGCAGCTCTGTATTATCTGCTATTAATGTGAATTCTCTCCTATCTATAAATTTCTCAGGATTGCCTCTTCCCCTTCACTTTCTGTAATCACCATTTATTATCCACATGCTTCCCATAAAACAAGACTATAGGTGACAGAGAGAGATTGATGCTGACCTAGATACAGGCTCACCCCCAGCTTTTTTCTTTCCTCTCCCTCAGCAATAATGTGCTCGTTACCGTGTGGAGGAGGCTTTGTTAAAAGGTTTAGCTTCTCCCAGCTGTGAGTGCTAAAAATAGCATCATTAACTGAAACTTTGTGTGATCAGCTCCTGGGGAAGAGGTACCGAGGTGGGCTCAAGCTGTAAATAAACAGGAGGAAACTCCATCCCACTGCCCTGTCAGCTCCAGAACTAACTCGGGCTTGCATGGCAACACACTAGGAAAGCTTTCTGTCTCCATCTCTGAGCAAAAGGAGGGTTCCACATCCTCACTGCCCGGAGTAACTGTGGACCTGATGATGATTTTGCTCACATAGTTTTGGAGGTTTGTTCTTATGTTCTCACACTGAGCCTTTTCCCTGGGTAGCTGAATGCTTTGGAGACCTTACAAGTCTGCAGCACTTGGAAGTGCTCCTGGGGGTTTGAGTACTGAAAATTAGTCTTCTCTTGGAGGAGACAGGTATGGAGTGGTCCCTGGCTCACTGAAACCAAGGGATTTAGTATAATCTGTGCCTGGCTGCAGACTGCTGTGCTGTGGCTCTTTTCAAACAGCTTTGTGATATTCCATGCATTTCCCTGGACCCTTCTGGGGCTTCCCAGCCCAAGTAGCCCATTTCTGCCTGCCTAGGCTTCCAGAAGTGAGTAGAGTTCACCTGTCCCTTCTGTACCTCTCCCTGAGCCAAGGTCCCTGCCAAGCAGGATGCATCTGTGACATCTGTGGGAACCTGGAGCAGTTGCACAGGTTGGGGAACATGAGAAGTGCCCAATGAGAAGGGATAACTACTTTGGTTGCCCAGAGTTGGTTAATTTTTTTCTGTTCCCCCTTTGCTAGGAGTGCTTGGTCCTGTTTGCCAGCACTGGTGAGGAGACAGTGGGTTTTTGCAGCTGCACCTTGCTTGTCCTTTGGTTTCCTCTGCTAGGAGACTCCTCTGCATAGCAAAGGATGTCTCATTATCTCCTGTCCAAAAGGGAAATGCAGCTCACAGAGTAATTATCTCTGCCATCCTCACTGCCTTATTTCTCACCATGTTAGCACACTCATAATTAACCACAAAGCCTTTTTCTCCCCCCTCCCTCTTCCTAGTTCTTGCAGTTGTACTGCACTGAGCAACTGGGACATGCTTGAAATAAAACTCTGCCTTTTTCTACCTACTTGAGCTGAGTTTAACTCCATCAAAAATCAAAACCTCCTGTTTTGGGAGAAGACCTTTGCACACCATACATGATGAGGCTGTCCAGGCAGCTGGCATGGGGGAAGTGTGCTGCAGCTCCAGTTATCTGACCAGATTTTCATGGAGCATGATTTGTGGTTCCTTCAGAGAATTTTTGTAGCTTATATGTGTTGGTTTCTTAGTACCCTTGCTTTGGTTTAGCCATAATTTTTAATGAAAAAAAAACCCAAAAATCTATGAACTCTGCTCCTGCTTTGGTGATGGGCTGCACTTTGGTAAGTGAGGGAAAAACCTTCACCAAATGCCATGTTAGTAGTGAACCATGGGTTTAATTGTCTCATTACTGCCCTGAATGTTGTTTATGTGACCGATATGTGAAAATTTTGGATAGTGGGTATACACAGCAGAAGCAGCAGCATTTCTGAAGGTCCCTTAGTGGCCACCAGCCTGAACATCCTTCAAAACTTGTTGCTGATTCAGTTTAGCTGGGGCATTGCCAGGAAAGGCTTGTTTCCTCCGCTGGTTTCCTGCTCATAGCAGTGGTGGGAGGTGGGGAGCAGCTCCAGTGATTATTGGTAATTATCCATCATCGTGAGCCTGACCCTGGCACCTTGCCTTGGGCATTGGATATGACTTTGACAATACAGAGGCAAAACCAAAGGCTCATGATGACCAGGGCTCTGAAGGCTGCAGGTACTTCTGCCAAACCGTGGCTCTGCAGAGCAGGAAACTCCTTCTCCCCAAGTGGCCAGAAAACTGGCAGACAATTAGAAGTCAGTGCTGACAGACAAGGATCAATAGGAGTAGGTGGGCAGGAGGCAGATGGGCTGCCCCTGTTCACCTCAGCACTGTCAGCCCTGCTCTTTGTGAACAGAGCTGCAGAATCTTGCTGGCTGTCAGACAGCAGCTCCCCTTGCTGTGCTGGAAAGGGCCTGCTCTGACCTCCTGGCACGGCCCACCATGGCACAAGGGCACCTGGCTGCCAGCTCTGTGTCTGAGCGAGGGAGGCTCTTCCCATGCAGCAGGACAGTGGGCAGAGGAGGGAAATGTCTGCAGGCTGGGTGGCTGCCTGGCCTTCCCAGGTGGCTACTTGGGCTGTGTGACAGTAGCAAAGAGTACGTCACTGCCGTGCCGCCTTGTTTGAGATGGTCTCTCCGTGATCTGCCGTGTGGGCCGTGGAGCCCAGGCAGGAAGAGTGGTTGCTGTGCAGCCAGATGGTTCATTTTTTGCAAGGAGGTTAATTAACTCACATTGACTGGCCCTGGCATCTGAGGAAAAAGTACTTATGGCAACAAATGAGCTGTCACTTGTCCCCTCCTGAGCCCGCTGAAGGAATTCAATAGACCTTTCCCCAGGCACTTGGTACCTAGATGTTTTGTGCTGACATATGTTACCTGTCTCTGTTCTTAAGGTGTCTGTTAAAGCTTGTGTGAGGGTATGTAGGTATGTTAAGGGAGGATTGACCAGAGCTTGGGTATATTTTCAGAATCCCCTTCATCTGTGAGGAACAGTTCTGCTGCCAACTTCATACCACCACCTCTTCCTCCACAGAGGAAAGACTTCTGAGCCTGCTGAGAGCTGCCTCGTTATGTGGGATGGTGGCAGGGATGTAACTACAGAGGAGCCCCTATGCTCATCTCCTGGGAGCCCCCACAGCTCTGCAGAAGTGTTCTCAATCGCTACCGGTGAGTAAGTCTTTGGAGTATGAATTTCTTGGATCAGACCCTTTACAGCTCATGCCTTGTTGGGCCCTTATGAATGGGAAATGGCATCTGCAAGGCTGTAAACTTGGCTGTACTAAGTGGATGGCCCTGAAAGTGAAAAATGGATTTAAAGATTATTCAAGCCATGAGTTGTTTGGGAGATGTTGAAGCCTGTGTAATGGGCATGTGTTAAGATGTGTTAAGGGAGGGCTGATGAGAGCTGCGTACGGTTTGAGGATCCACTGCCTTTATATGGAACAGATCTGCTCCCAGCTTCATGCTCCCAACTATTCTGCTATGGACACAAGACTCTTTTTGGGAGCACTAACTTAGGTGCTCTTGCCAAACTGGAGTTTTTATGGCAGTTGCTGTATTAGGAAGAAGGATTAAATAATAATCTTGGAGTTTCAGAAATAAAAGGTTCAGTGACGCCACAGCTTCCCACATGTTTGTTCTGAAATCTGTACCCAGTACTGGAGCACATGGACCTGTCTGTTCAGGTCCTCACTCATGGGCAGTGAGGTTTAGCTCATTCCCTTTGTGCAAGTCTCCGTTTGTTTCCTGTACCCATCTGTGACCTTCCTGGGAGGGCTGGAAGCTCCAGGGTTTTCCCTTGAGGGATGATTGCTCACCCTTGAATAAGGTGTTTACTCTTGCCTGTAATTGCATGGGGTTTGAGCAGCACCAAACCCTAACTGTGCTTCCTTCCCATCTCATTGCTTTCATGTAGAGACATGGGTGTGTGCTTTGCTTGGGGAGTTTCAAGTTGGGGCATGATAAGCCCCATCCCCAGGCACTTTCCCAATCTAGTTTGTCAGGAGCAGGTTTTGCTTTTGCTTTTTGTTGTCCATTCATTGCAGTCCCCAGGATACATCAGGGTCTCCCGACCTTCCTTTACTGCCCTATCTCCCTTCTGACTCACAGTACATTTGGAAACAATTTACTGGTTTTAAAATTGGAGGAGAGATACTCTTTATTCCTCTTTGAAAAATGGGGAGGTTTGGAGCAAGAGAAGAGAAAGGACTATGGGCCCATTCCAGTATTTGTTTTGCTTATTGGAAAACAAAACCATTTACCAAACTGCTTTCAGAAAGCAGCAATCCACAGGCTTGGTTTTCATTAAAAAGGCACTCACTGTTTTCCCCTGAGTATTCACTGTTTTCCCCTGAGTATTTAGTGACATTTTTCAAGATTTTCTGAGCACAATAATTGTATTTTTTTTATCAAATTTTGTTCTGACTTTGTGACCGCAATAAAGTTTAGGAAACTATAATTTATTATGGGTTAAAAAAATATTTTATGAATCTGACTCCTTTCCTTGATTACTGGATCATACTGTGATTCTTCTCCCAGCTGCAAAACAGCATTGTAAATGCTGCTTTCAGACTCTGTGGGATGTTCCTCAAATTGCTTGGAGAGCTACTCTCTCATCCATTGCTCAGTTCTGTTGCTGAGACCCTGAGAGAGAAACTCTTTTGTCTCTTCCCAAGACTCTAGAAATGGAAGTGTTTGTTTCTGGTGTTTTAGTTTTACTTTGGCAGTAAACTTTCTTTTCTTTTCTTTTCTTTTCCTTTTTTTTTTTTTTTTTTTTTTTTTGAGGTGTCTCTTCTTGTAACCCTTCAGAACTGAAAAATAAGGTGTCCTGGTGATGATGTTAAAAGTCCTCCTACAACGCCAACCCTGCTACACCAACTTTAACAGACTCCAGAGGCTGTTTAGTGTTGTTTCAAGGATGGGGCTAATGGGGAGAGAAGGTGCTTTCTCCCTGAAAGAGGATTCTTATAAAATCTGTGCTTGCTTTGCAGACAGGGAGTTGGCATTTGCCACACCAGAGAAGATCTGGAGATGGGGCAATGACCTGCAGAGGCATTCGATGCCTGATGTTTGCTGTAGCCCAGACTCCAGCTCCCTAAAAGCATTGGGAGCAGAAGGCCAGGGCAAATTAGAGGTCCAAGGAGTCCCCCAAATACAGACCCAGGGAAGCTTCCACATTCATTGTAGATTGTGTATGTTCGTATTAAGAGGAAGGAACTCTTAGAGGAGGGGCTGCTTAGCTTTCTGGCTTGATTTGCTGCTGGGGCAGGTATGGCTGTTTTCTAGGAGCTGAACCGTGGTCACTGGTCAGCCTTCAGGTAGTGGTGGTTGTAGGTCATTATTTAATTTAATTTACCTCAGTGAAATCTGAGCTCTGGGCTGTGAGTGCACAGTACCTAGCTACCAGCTGAATCCTACATGTCTTTGTTAGAGAGGTCCTCAGGTATCCTCTAAGGCACCTCGGATATGGTCAGGTTTTGTTAACAAAATAAAATGCATGGATTTTTTTTTTTCCTTCATCCTTTCCCAGAGGTGCTGCTGTCTTTCCATTCTCCCAGGACACTTGATGGCATTTCATTCACTTGAGGTCGACTGATTGTGGCCTTACCTAGCAGATAATATGGATTCCTCACTGCCTTACAGGGAGACTGGAGGGTTTTTAAAGAACATGCTATAAATCATCTGTGGTTATGGATTATAAAGTAGAAGTGATGAAGTAAAATCTATGATGATCACAGAGGAGGGAACTGTGAGCTGCTGTTAATCCTAGAGAGGTACAAATGACCATCTGACATGGAAGTTCACAGAGAAAAAACCTCAGTGTATTTATTTGTTTCCATTTGTTCATGCAATGGGCATCTAAAAGCACAAAATTGTTTTTAAAATCTAGCTTTCTTTCCAGTTTATGACCCGATTTTCATAATGAGATGTGTAAATAGTGCACAAAGTATCTTGATATTCCCCTGTGTGTTAAACTGCTGCAGCCAGTGTAATTGCTTGCAAATATTGTGTGCAGCAGCAAGGGGAAAATCAGGTTTGCTCTGTATTTATTGTATTTCACTCAGCTTAGCCACTGGAAGCAGCTTTAGTCTGCTTTGCTTCCTCTCTCTCACACCCTTAACCCAAAGCTGTATTGTTTAGGTTCCTAGGAGAATTGGTTTGGAACCTTTTGAGATTATTATTAGTAAATGTTACATTATTTAGATAATGATTTTAATAAAGAAATAGAAATTTGGATTAAAATGTTTGTGGCTACCTCTTGTAGAGACACCTGCTCACCCCAGCAGTGAGTCAGACACTGGAACTAAGATGTGAAAATTCCTACCTCCAGATCCAGCCCCACAGATCTCAACCTTTTTCCCTCTCAGCTTTGGACTGTTGTCTCCGTTGGATAGATATGTGGGATATGGGTATGTTCTAAACTGAGGGAACACCTTTACTTTTTCCTTGGCTCTTGTCTTTTAAGAGTTTTTTAAGGGTTTATGCCACATCAAATGTTATGTAATCAGTCCCTGAAATTAAGTACACAAGGGCATATATTTTTCTCTGGATGACTTTTAATTCATGTCTGAGAGAGAAAGAGAGAATTATTCCAAGAGATTAAGCAGGGAAAATGGTATCTGCCTTTGGATAGTGTTCCTTCCTCTGAGGGGGTTCTTTGAGACCCCTCTCAAGACCTGCCCACTGTTGAGGCTTGCAGAGAGCCAAAATGGTTCTTGCCATGGTTTGGTGCCTGCTTGAGGGAGCCAGGCCTGGACAACTGCGTGAGGGTTTAGATCTGATTTACCCCAAAATGATGGCACAAATTGAAAGCACCTAAGAAATCTGGGATTGGGACTGGTAGAACATGGTTCTTCTTGAAAATGTCTGAATGTATGGGCAACTGGAAGTAGTACTTTGCCTCAGTTTCTGTATCTACTTTTGTGCAAGGCTTCTAGATGGCAGGAGTGAGCCCAGCTGGTCTTAACAGTGAGATGTGACTTACAGCTGTCTGTGCCATTTTCACTTGTTTTTTGTTGACGTGTAAGTCTTTCACCTTCAAAATTTCTATTTGAAATATACACTGTTTTTGTGTTCTCTTCTTTTGTGTGTGAACATCCACAAACTGCAAAGGCCAAATCTCTTGCTTTTCCTGTCCCTAGTGCAACTTGTAGGGAGCTGCCTTTGCTTGCCCACAGCCCCAGCTTCACTGTTTGCAAAGCCCTTCATGCTTGACCAGACGAGTTCCAAGTTGGATTTATAGGAAGATTGCTTGAGGTTCAGGCATAAAATCTAGGATGGCTGACTTTATTTAAAGGAGTCTGGGATTCCAGGCTGCCAGAATTGATGGGACTGGCTTGTATATCTTCTCTACTGAAGCCAGCTGACAGTTTTAAACCATCATTAAATCAAACTTTAGTCATTAAGATTTACTGGTAGCTTTTTTACAAATGAAATGTAAAATCTGGTGCTCTCCACGTGGAAGACAAATTCTTGAATCTGTCTTCCTGTATGTTGACAGAAATGTGGGGCTTTCAGGTATATATTTACATGTACATGCTGCTGAGCCCTGCAGTGGTGACAGACACTTCCAAATGGCCCTGCCTGGAAAGGAGAGGTATCTCAGTGTTTGAAGGCAGATCCTGCCAGCCTCATGGATTTATGGGAATGAGGGCCCAGAAGTAGGTGAATGGGACAGGTACCTATAAATACAATGAGCTAGTCTTGCACACAGGCAGAGTAACTACATCTAGCTTTATAAATAACAGCAGCCTTTTAGGTTTCCTAGGAGGTCTGGCAGGCTTACAAATGAATGTGCTGCTAGATGTCTGAGACCAGACATCAGAAAGCTGTCCATGAGTGCTGTTGGCCCACTGTCTTATTTTTCCCTGCCCCCATTCCCCGTCTCTTGGTGGGGGTGTTTTTTTTGCTGTTTTTGGTTACTGCAACACAGACCCTGCCTGGCCTGCAATCTCTCACTGCTGCTTGCTGGAGATGAATGATTCATCAAGCCCAACCTGATAAAATTGTGCAAGCCAGTCACCAAAGTTAGTCAGACCAAAAGGAAAGAGAGGAGGGAAGGGAAAAACAAAAACAAAAGGGGCCCTAGAGCTAGAGCTAATTTTTGAACCTCCCCTGGGAATTTAAAAATACATCTATAATGTACTCAGCCTGAGTTCTCCATCTTC